GCATTCCCAGAATCATATCTTATACCCAATATCCCAGACAACGCCATTGCTAACCCTGGATACGTCCTGTCACACTGGCAGGACAGACCCAACAGAGGTAGCGGCACAGTGGGAACCAACAAGAGAGAATATGAATGTTTGATCTCATCCTTACCAACCTGCCTGCTGCAGATACCTCTGTCCATGGCAGTATCAGTAAGAGTGACCACCGCACAGTCCTTATGGAGACAAAGTCCTGCCTTCACATTGAGAATACCCTGCACAGTGTTGTGTGGCACTCTGACTGTGCTAAATGAGACAGACTCCGAACAAGTCTAGCAACTCAAGACTGGGCATCCATGAAGGTCTATGGACCATCAGCAAAAGTTGAATTATATCCTCAACGCAATCTGCAAACTCATGGCCCGGCGTATCCCTAGCTCTGCAATTACCATCAAGCCAGGGGATCAACCCTGGTTCAGTGGAGACTGCAGGAGGGCATGCCAGGAGCAGCACCAGGCATACCTGAAGATGAGGTGTCAACCTGGTGAAGCCACCAAATGGGACTACTTCACGCCAAATAGCATAAGCAGCAAGTGATAGGCAGAGCTAAGCGATCCCACAACCAACAGATCAGATCTAAGCTCTGCAGTCCTGCCACATCCAGTCGTGAATGGTGATGGACAATTAAACAACTCACTGGAGGAGGAGGCTCCACAAATATCCCCATCCTCAATGATGGAAGAGCCCAGCACATCAGTGCAAAAGATAAGGCTGAAGCATTCACAACAATCTTCAACCAGAAGTGCCGAGTGGATGATCCATCTTGGCCTCCTGTGGTTACAAAACCAGGTCAGAGGCTAGGGATCTAGACTAGAAATGAACAATAAATGCTGGTCCAGCTGGCAAAGTCCACGTTCCCGTGAATGAATTTTTATAAAAGCAGGTGTTTGTAGAAAATGGGTCTTAGATGGAATCTGCACTCCGAGAGCCAGATGTTTCTTACAAGGCTCAGAACACACAAAGCTGCTGGCCTGAGGAAAAGGAGCAGGTTGATAGTATAGTTATCCAAGAAAGTGGTATCTCATGTTTGTTTGTGCTGAGTCTGTGCAGTAATCACTAGACCTAGTACTAGTAATATTCAGTACTCAATTCGTAATGCTCAGTTAACTAATATACAATTAATTATTCAATTAACATTGCATTCAGCAGCTGCCCAGGAGGGTTTCTGTGTGATATAACATGAACACAATTCAAACAGTGAATTGTTTTAAAAATTGGCCAGTTGTTTCTTTTTTTGGCTTTCTGGATTCTAATATGAAACCCTGCACTTCCCTCTGGTATGAGCAGTAAATCCATAGTGTAACACTGAGCAATGACATCAGCTGTGACAAACCTGCAATACTGTATACACATATATGTGGGGTCAGTTAGCTCAGTTGGCTGGATGGTTGGTTTGTGACGCGTTGTGACACCAACAGCGCAGGTTGGATTTCCTGTTCTGGCTGAGATCAGCGTGAAGGACCCTCCCCTTGCCTGAGGCATGCTGACCTTCGGGTTAAACCACTGCCACTTGTGTGTCTGTAAGGAGAGAGCAGCCCTATGGTAGACCTACATTGACTTTACCTTTTTTAAGCATGACATGTTATCTGACCCGTTTCCTCGCCCTCTCTCATGCCTCTCCTGTTTTCTCTGGCCTTGTTCCGTCCAGCAGGCAGACGAAGACACTGCCCAGGTAAAGAAAGAGAAATCCCTTTTCACAGTGAAACTGACAGAATTCAAAGCGGCAGAGAAAGTGAAGCTCATTAAGGAGGTGAAGAACTGTATTCCTGGCCTCAACCTGGTGCAGGTGAGTCGAGTTGAAGGGAGTGATCCCATTGATACAAGCACGAGGGCCCATACCTGAGACCTGGCACCCTCGATACCAAAGTCATGCCCGATCTCAGGTCAAGGGTCCCTTGGAGTATGGGATAAAGCAGGGTTTTGTGCATTCTCCCTGTGTCTGTGTGGGTTCCCTCCGGGCACTCCAGCTTCCTCCCACAGTCCAAAGATGCGCAGGCTAGGTGGATTGGCTATGGGAAGTTACCCGTAGTGTTCAGGAATGTGCAGATTAGGTGGGTTATGGGGGGAGTGGGGATGGGTCGGGTCTGGGTGGGATGCTCTGAGGGTCGGTGTGGACTTGTTGGGCCGAAGGGCCTGTTTCCACGCTGTTTGGATTCTATGATCCTAGTTACAAAAGCAGTAACTGATCTGAAGCCAATGTAGTGTCTAGTTGCATTGGTGTAGGTACATTGTTTTTAAAAATTTCACCCCTCGACAACTGAAGCAAAAAGGGCCCAGTTTTTGGACAACTCTGATTTTCCATGGAGTCACATTTTGAGGTACTCTTCCCTTGAGTGAAACATTGGGATGAGGGGGGTGGTGGTTTGGATCTGAATCCTTGCTGACTGAGAGCTGGGGTGGGGGAACGGGGTCTCTGCCCGCTGTACAGAAAGTGTCACTGGGTTCAGAGGATTTCCCCTTTCTGTGATTAACCTTCTATCTGCTTATCACCAGGCGAAGAAACTGGTGGAGTCTCTTCCTCAAGAGGTGAAGGCTAAAGTCGGGAAGGAGGAAGCAGAGAAACTGAAGGCTGCCCTTGAAGCAGCAGGAGGAACTGTCCAGCTGGAGTAACCTTTCCTGCTCGCTGAGCCATTGCAGGGTACTGTGGAGACTGGTCACGAGACCTTCCTCGGTGGTCCTCTACGCTGACTGGTGTCCTGGAGCTGCTGTATACTGTGTCATGGGACTTACTTTACAGTGGGGAGTGTGGGTTGACCAAGATATTGTTTGTACGTGTGTGTCTACATATTATGATTTTATACTACTGCCTGAGGGTGCAGTTATTGGTCCGATAGGAATTAGAGGTTTTGTAAATGCTCACCCCATGCAGCACCTGGAATACGAACATAATCAACGGAATCTCCATGTACAGCGATGATTATTTTCACCCATCATTAAATGATGAAAAGAAAGAACCTTTGTCAGACTCTGGGGGTGAATGTTTTTGACTCCATCCAGTGACCTTGTATTGTGCACTAACTCGGTTAAGTTGTACTGATAGGAGCTGGGAGCAGGGGCATCGTCGTTGGAGGTAGAGAAGCAGGCTTCAGGATAGGATCAGCCCCTCCGTTCTCACGCTGATGTGAATTTAATCACCAACAAATCCTGTATCCCAAGCCTGACCACCTTCCTCCCGTTGTAAAGCTTTTGGGGGTACTAATGAGGTTTCACATTAGAGACAGACAAAGCTTCCGAGCTGTGGTTACACTGCCCCAGCACACGGCACAGTATTTTTGATTTCCAACAGCAAGCGTTGTCCCTAACAATGAAAGGATGATGCCTTTAAGTACAGGAGGAGTCAGTGCTGTTAGTAATGGCTGTGGCCATGAGCAGGATCAGTGTTATATCTTCCATCTTTGGTCTCTGACTGTAGCAGTCCAGGCCTCTCTTGGTGCTATGGTCAGTGTAAGGAAGGAATTGCTCCTTTGTTAAGGGGCTGTGACCTGGTTTATGACCTGGTGCTGTGCCGATGTGATTTAGATTAACAGTTACTGAAACCCCAGTAAAGTTAGAACAGGGAATTTGAAGTATAGGTTAGTAACGACTGTCCCCAAGGTCTTGTGGATAGCCACTTTTCTGCCTTGCTTGAGAGATTTGACTGCAGTTTAGAATTCATGGTTTTCCCTGAATTCCTTCAGCCCTCGCTCTAGTAGGTCTGAAAGTCTGACGATTTGGTAATTGGACTCCTGCAGGCTGTGGGGTGGAAGAGATAGTAGGAACTGCAGATGCTGGAGAATCCGAGACAACAAGGTGCAGGGCTGGATGAACACAGCAGGCCAAGCAGCATCATAGGAGCAGAGAGGCTGACGTTTCGGGCAGCCCTGCACCTTGTGTGGGGTGGAAGATGCTGCTGCAGTGAGGTATTACAGCTCACTTCACACACAGTCTGTGCATCGTTTGTTCAGTTCACTCATCAGTTGCTCATCTTCACCCAGTTCATAATTTACACTCAGTTCGCTTACAATCCGTGCATTTTGCTGTAGGCTTTGAGCCCCACCCTGATCAGGCCTTGCACTTTTTTTTTGACAATTTCCTGGGAGATTGAAGAGGATATAATTTCCTGATGCTGTCTCCATTGCAACACAGCCAATTAATGTCGGCTTGCCAAGTAATCACACCCCTTTCCCTGTAGTCTGAATAGTTTTGGTAATCTCGATCCTGTTCCGACGCGTGAGAGCCATGACGCTTTGAGATAGTGAGTTGCTGCCCTCAGCAGTGAGTCGGAATTCCCTGCCCCCGACTCTAGTGAACGGTGTTGGACTGTGGTTTTCTCACTGTCAGGGCCCCTGACCTACCATTACCCATGTGTGTTTGTTATGTGTGAGACTGCATTTGATTGTGAGAGCTGCTCTTCCTATTCATCTGCAAAGCAGTAAGACCCTCCTCTGTCCCAACTGATTTCCTGCCCCCCCGCCTTCCCTCATTGGCTTGTTTGAGAGCAGCGGTGACCAGTTACATATTTATTGTCTCTCTGCATGATCCAAGAGGGACATTTCAGGGAATGTCTTGAAGGGGAGATTCCTGACCTTAGGGCTGGGGCAGTTCTATAGGCCTCTTTAAGAGTTGACTTGCTGGGGCCAGTTATAATTATGGGTAGTGGTGACTTATCCACTGCTGATTTTTGTTTGCAGTGAGGTCAACGTGCATAAGACAGCCAGTTTTTAATGTTTGAGATAACAAGGTGTAGAGCTGGATGAACGCAGCAGGCCCAGCAGCATCAGAGGAGCAGGAAGGCTGATGTTTAATGTTTCACGCCATTATCCAACCCTGAATCTCTGTGTATGTACACAATGATAGTTGAATCTGAGTAATGGGAGCAATCTGCTTAATTAGTAGAAAATATACTCTTGCAGAATAGGAATTTCTATAGGGGTGGGAGCTTCTTATAGCATTGTCTGTTTGGTAGCAAGGTTCCAGTTTAAATATTCGGGGAGCTCTGAGCTAACCTGCTCTCTGATATTGGCCTGGGATCTTTTATAGGTCGCTGCATTGCATTTAATACTTTCTTCCTGCTAGCTGCAGGCAGCACTGCCCTCTGGTGGCATCTCCTCACATCTGCTGATGCTTTTGTCTGAGCATTAAACTGCAATTCTCAGGTGAACCAGCGTGAAATGCCTGGAGAAGGGACACCATTCCTTGTCCTTTTGTTGTGATGTGAACAGACGTGGATTGTTTTTTATATACACACGCTGTACAATGCAAGCACACAGTGTATTATGTGCCACGTGAGGTGGAAGTGGTGGCTGTGTTGCAGATGAAGATTGTCAGAAGGTTGTATTTGCTGATGAGATGGTAGGAACTGCATTTCTGAAGAAGGGTCTAGGCCCGAAATGTCAGCTTTCTTGCTCCTCTGATGCTGCTTGGCCTGCTGCATTCCTCCAGCTCTACACCTTGTTATCTTGTATTTGCTGATTGCAGGTTGTTCGCGCCTATCTGTAACCGGCAGATTCTCCCACAGCTGATGCTGCTAAAGACAACTGGACCTACCTTTCCTGTTTGTTCTAACACTGGCTCTTCACTCGGTATCAGAAGTTGGTCTGTAACGCTGCTGATGTGCCACTTCTAGGTATCATGACTAGTGGGGTTCATACTGGCAATATTCAATGTGACACACAGAGATGGATTTCTCCAGGGACTGCTCAGTGTTTGTGTGGGGCACGTCTGTGCCATTTACCAGTGTTCAGCTGTTTATGATGCGTGATCTTAGGTGGGTGACTGGCCATGATTTGGGGAACATGCCTCACCCAGAGTTAGATGGGCTTTGGAGGCCTCAATGCTGGTGATGTTACTATTTCCAGAACCTTTGTGCTTGTGGTGGGGTGCACTGCCGTGACTAAGGGAGAGAGTAAGGGCTGTGATTCCAGCAGATAAGAGAGACACTCACTGCTCACAGTATGTTCACCACATGAGAATGGGACTTGGCCATTCAGTTCTTCAGGCATCATCTGCCATTCAATGGGGTGATGACTGATGTGTTTCTTGACTCTGTGTCTGTCTTGTTGAAGTAAGATGGGCCAATACTCATTGGAATATAGAAAAGTAAGAGGAGACTGTATTGAAGATTATTTGGGGATTTGACGGGGTAGATGTGGAGAGGTTGCTTCTCCCTGTGGGAGAGTCAAGGCCCAGAGGGCATAATCTCAGAATAAGGGATCGCACATTTAAGATGGATGGAAGACAAATTTCCTCTTTAAGGTGATTATACTGTGTAACACTTCCCTACAGAGCGCTGTTGAAGCTAGGCCATTCAGTATATTCAAAGCAAAACACTTAAGAAGCTTCTGGATGAGGACTTAGCCTACCATGTCCTGGAATTTTATGGACCAAGTGCAGGTAAATGGGATTAGTATAGTTTGGTGTTAACGGTCGGCATACATATGATGGGCCAAAGGGCCTGTTCCTATGCTGTGTGACTTCAGTCTTAATCAGGCAGCGAATTGTGGCATATGGGGGAAACTGCGGGAAAGTGGAGTTGAGGATTATCTGATAAACCAGGATCTGTATTGAATGGTGTAGCAGATTTGATGGGCTGAATGGCCCACTTCTCCGACATCTTATGATCGAATAAACATCTATTAACAAACAGTTTTATTGTTCCATCTATGGGAACTGGCTGTGCGTAAATAGGTCACCATGTTTCCCAACTAACAACATGTCAATAATCCTCCTTTTGCTATAAAGCACTTGGGACAATGTAAGAGGTGCTATGTGAATGCAAATCTCTCATCTCCATGACTTGGGTTGGGTGTTAGTTTTGCAAAAACCTGTTATCCTACTTATCATTCAGCAAGTTACGAGGCACTGACACAGCTGATGTTGCATCGTCCTTTAGAGAGTTAAACACTGAGATTCAGGGTTCTCTATCAGCAACCAGTAGAAAGTTATGAAATGTGAGGAAGCCCAAACAGGCCATGAGGACTCCAGTTAAAGTCAAGGCGAGGCTGAACCACAGGAAAACACACAGTGTCGCAATCACTTCTCCTGAAAACAGGTCACCTGATAAACCTGCCCTCTGAATTTGCCTTGTAAAATATTGCAAAACCTCAAGGTGCAAATATCACGTTGGGTCAGAGAAAGGAATTTAAAATGTGCCAACTTCATAGGTGAGGCAGTAGCTGACTGGCCAAAGGTTCAGACTCTGGCTCTGGAGCACAACCGAGGCCAAAGGAGGAGGGAAGGGAAATGAAAGCTGTGATTAGATACATGATGCCTGGTTTTTAAAGCCCATGGTTTGGAGAAGGAATTGCAGCGTTCCAGTTTACAGTTTCAGGGGAGAGTGATGCAGAATTCTTACCAGATAGCATAGAATCCAATGCAGTGAGTAGTTACAGGGGATTTATAGGTCACTGAGTTAAAATACCATTGAGTTAAACTCTTCACCGTTGGGATAATCAACACCTACAGTAATTGTTTAACCAAAGAAAGGGAAAGAGATGCTCCTGTTGTTGTAAAATAGTTGTCATTCTCTCCATTCTGAGTCCTGTCCTTTTGCAGCCCATGGATATCTGTTCCGCTCAGGTGTACATAGTACACATTAGTCCTGGGTTTGAGCCATCTGTCTGTGGAATGCACTTTATGACCATAAAATAGGAGCAGATGTAGGCCATTCAATGAGATTATAGCTGGTCTGATAATCCTCAACTCCGCTGTCCTGCCTTTTTCCTATAACGGAAATATAGAAAATAGGAACAGGAGTAGGCCATTCAGCCCTTTGGGCCTGCACACCCATTATGATCATCCACTTCAATAATCTGTTCCTGCTTTTGTCAAAATCGTTTGATTCCTTCACCCCCAAGTGTTTATCCAACTTCTCCTTGATAGGAGCCCTGATTTCCTCAATTATTTTTTTTCGAAGTCTATTCAGCCCTAAAAATACTTAATGATCCTGCCTTGACAGCTCTCTACAGTAGAGAAT